TTTAAATAATTAAGTTTGTCAATTATTTAGCTATTTAATATTTTTCATTTTTTAACATTCTATTATATAATTTATTTTAATTATTTTATATGTATATGTATAAAAATATATTTTTTCATGCAACATGTAGTATATGATGACCTTGTTTGGTTATTAACTGATAGAAAATTGTAATAGTTGGTTTGACTAGTAGATTATATAGCTATTTATAATAATTGTTTGGTGAATAAAGAATTGTAAAGCTATTTTGGAAATTTTATGTTGACATGTTAATTTTTGAATTCTCCTTTCTCAATTCTCAAAAAGCTTCTAAAATCAATTTTTTCAAAAATTAGCGTCTTTGACTAAAAAAAAAAATCAAATCAAATAAGCTCTTTTTTTTTTCACACGATAGATTCATTACTAAAACACATACTTATAACCGGCTCACTAGTCGAAAATGGGAGGCCTATCAACATCCAAAGGTAGCCTAAATATCACAACACAACACAACAAACACACAAAAAACTCCCCAATGAGAGAATACAAGTTCCCAACGGGAGAATCAACACTCATAAAAACGGAGAGAAAAACATAAACGCACTCTTACAACACAACACGAACAAATAAGCTCCTTTTCAAATAAACTAATTAGTAAATTTGACTTTCAAATCATAAAATGAGACTCAATCCGATAATTTTATATCAGTCCACTAACATCATGTTTGGGAGTTACACTCCACTATCAGTGGCACACACTAGCTTGGGCTGGGCCGTCCAGATTGCACTTTTCAGATAGCCCATCAATAAAACTAGTGTGTACCTCGTGCGATGCACGGGAACAATATTAAATTAACAATATTATAAATAGAACTCGAATATGAGTCACTCAATAGCGGAAATGGAAACTACTATTGATCCTATTTAAAAAGAAGAAGAAGAAAAAATTACAAATTAAAGAGGAGGATAAACAATACTTAATAATTATAAATTAAAGATTCGAGGTCAAACAATGTAAAATTATTTTGTATAAGAGAATATAAAAAAATTTGATTACACACCATTTCAAAATTATTATTATACTTTTTTGTATGGTTAGCTTATAATATTTATAAAAATATTAGTAATTAGACCGATGAAAATTAGTTTCTTAAAGTAGATAATGGATTTCTAGTAGTAATTATGAATTGGTTTCTATTTTATTTTATTTTTTCTTTTTAAAGACTTTCATCTTCTTAAAGTAGATAATGGATTTCTAGTAGTAATTATGAATTGGTTTCTATTTTATTTTATTTTTTCTTTTTAAAGATAATGGATTTCTAGTAGTAATTATGAAGATTTCTATTTTATTTTATTTTTTCAAATCTGTATAGATAAGAGATGAGATTTTTTAAACACTATGCTATGAGATTTTGTAACAGAAGAGATAAGCTCGTGTAGATTTATACTAAAAATAGCAAAAAGAAAAACAAATATTTACGGTCAAACAACGGTTTTGATAAATTAAAAAACAGGACAAAGAGAAACAAATCTTTACACAATTAATGAGCCGATTTTTTTGCCTATTTTAGATTTGTCCAACGATTACTATATATAGGATACAGTTAATGATTTTGGCGAGAAAAAATTTCTAAATTTATAAAAAGGTTATTCTTTTTATATAATGATAGATTTCTGGTGAGAAATAGTCTTAGAGTCCATTTGGGCCTGTAGTTAAATGATATTTTATGTAGGAAAATTTTTATCTCTCCTACACAATTAGGAAAATTTAGATAATCTACCATGCAAATACAATTAATTGCGTCTTTACCTATAAAATTTATCTAAATTAATGGCTCAAATCAATTACCACTAGAGATGTTAAATGATTCTTGGCCCGACGGGTCAGCCCGTTTAGCCCGAAAAATACCAGGGTTAGGGCTCTTTATTGATAACCCATTTAAATCAGAGTTTTTTAGGCCCAGACCGTTTAGCCCGAAGCCCGCTAGGGCTGACCCGTTTAACTAGAGTTGGGCGGTGTAAATGGTTGCATCAAGTAAGTAATATGCTCTTAGATTCCTTGTATATTCCACTTCACATGTAAGTATGAGTTGTGATGGATTATTATGATTTTGAAAAATAATTTTTTACAATATTGGAAAACCTAACAACATCGTGAAAATTCCCAAAACGTATAAAATAAGTAGTAAAATGATAATTATAAGTAATAGTTAGAATATTTTTTTTTTTTTGAGAAAAAATACGTTATTTAAGAGTTTGTAATATGTGTTCATATATAATGTGTAGTTGTATATATAGAGCAGTAAATATTAAATAGCCGTTGAAAACAATCGTTAAATAGCCATTATAATTTTTTATATATTTTTTATTCTTTTTATTTTTGCTATTTTTTGATATATTAGTATTATTAATATTATAGCTCGCATAACCCGTTTAGCCCGAAGCCCGCTAGGGTTAGGGTTAAGTTTCTTTATTGGTAGCCCATTTAAATTTGAGCTTTTTAGGCTCGAACCGTTTAGCTCTCTAAGGCTAGCCTAAAACCGTTAGGTCTAGACCGTTTAACAACTCTAGTTACCACTTACCACCGTATCATTTTTTTTTTTTTTTTGGTAATTTTNAATTTCTTTAACTATGTTTTAGAGCATCTCCAATGCTTAATGTTGTAGTACCAAATTACATTTCAAATCAACACATTTATTAACATTACAACTTTTCATCCTCCAATGTACAATGTGATCACAAATATTGTGATGATGTGGACATAATTAATGTCTACAATGTAGAGAAGAATGTGGTTCATCCACATTCTCCTCCATACTCTAGTTAGCCAATGAAGAGAAGAGAGAGAATTACTATTACCATTTTTAAGCTATTTAATTATTTTATTAATTTTATTAATTCATATTAAAATTTTAATATTTAGTAAGTAAATAATATTGTAATTTGACTATATTGTGCATTGAAGATGATTTTTTAATTTAATAGTTGTGAACTCAACATTTGTCCTACATGGTTCACAATCTACTTAATTTTTTGACATTTGTCAAAANAAGATCCAAGTTATCGTCCCTTGCTAAGATTGTCTCCTCCTTCCGCGGTTTGACTCCGGCGCCGGTGCCTGCCGACGGCAAACGTATGCTCATGGTGGAGCACGTAGTCAATGGAACCCGCGATTACTCTCTAATCTCGACGGAAAACAACGAACTGAAGGTGGTAAGGGACAATCTTCCTGATTTATCGTTTATGAGAACTGAGAACTACGACTACGGAGAAATAGCCAACTATTAAATTTTAGATAGTTGCAACTCATTTTTTTTGCTCTTATGCAAAAGGGCTCCGCAAGCTCCGTGGGAGCTTCTGTGGAACCCCACCACCGGAGAAATCCAACCGATTCCTCCTTCGCCCGTCCAGATCCCCGATCCCGATGAGGTTAACGGTCCCGATGAGGTTAGCAGTCATCAATTAGTTTACAGCCTCGGGTTTGATCCGGTTTCCGGAATCTACAAAGTTGTCCGATCCCACATCCTTGATTACTATACTTGTCTTCGAGTCGAGGTGGAGGTTTACGCGGTCCAAACCGGTTCTTGGAAGAAAATTCCACAGCCGTATAACCCCGGCTTGGGATACCTTAGCGGCACTTCCATTCATATTAATGGAACACATTACTTTCTTGCCGAGGATCCTCCTAGTTACGTTGTTTATTCATTGGATTTGGTTAATGATGAGTTCTCATCTCTGATCGCTATCCCTGAGAGCGATAAGGTCTGGAATTTGGAAACCACTGATGTAGTTCTTGCCGTGTTGAATGGGTCACTTGCTTGCATCATGTATGATTTCGAAGACAAGGGCACAATTGGTTGGAGCCCTTCGTTTGAGATATGGGTGCGGAATTGGAGGCGCTGGACTCGCGAGTCGACTCATGCCTTTACTCCCCCAAGTAGTTGTCCTCTTCGGAGATTTATGGGCCTCTACGACAATGATAAAGCGTTGATTCTGGATGAGAGCGGTGACCTACTGTGTTACGATTGTTCGACGCGCCACTTGGAGTACCTTGGCATCCATGACGATTCGACTCTTCTGTCAGTTTTCCCATATGTCCAGAGCTCCACTCCATAGACGTACTGCTTGGCATCCTTGACGTATTGCTTGTTTTTTTTTGTCTACTTAGTTTCTGTTTCTGAATAGTTTGTGATTGTATTTTGTTGTTTTGAGATACATTGTTTCCCTACGAGATATTCTGGCTGGCTTCCCATAGGGATTTTATGATCTCCTGTTCGAAAATTGAATAGTTTGTGATTGTGTATTTATGGTTCCGTCTGTTGGTGATTTGGTTGGAATGTGTTGGTTTCCCTATGAGATATTTTCTGGCTGGCAGTTGTGCTTGATTCCCGTAGTGATGTTATGATCTCCGGTTCGAACATTGAATAGTTTGTGATTGTGTATATATGGTTCTGTCTGTTGTTGATTTGGTTGGAATGTGTTTTACTGTTTTACATAAAAATGCCAGCTATGCAATAAAGCCTCATTCACGTAAATCAATTTCCAACATCTCACAAACTCTTCTGAACCCATCTAAGGTCAGCATAAGTCAACTTCCACTCCAAGAAATGCAACCACGTACGAAATGGAATTAAATACCACTAGAGTGTATCAAGCAAAGCATTAACCATAACATATATCATCCTCAGCTCGTTCAACGACAATCGGTTAGCAAAACTTAACTTTGGCAATCGCTTCTTGCTTTAGGAGATCCTCAGCGGCACACACTGTATCAAAGTTTTGACAAGAAATGGCCACGTCTAAGCTGCATGAGAATCAAAGGACGCACCTACTAAGACCCAGCAACTTAAAAAACTTCAAATTATTGATTCTGAAATATGCTTACAGTGTGGAATTTCATTAGGCTTGATCATTGAAGATTTATCAGATAAGTATCTACAAAATCCAATCGATCTCTAGCCTTCCAGCCATGTATTCAACAATTTCATCCCATCCTAGTGTCATCTAGAATAACAGGAAATCAAACCCATATGTAGAGGTCATCTAAACCTCAGCAACAGTAGCCAAGAAAAAAAAGAAAAAGAAAAAAAAANTGAAAAAAAAGAAAAAGAAAAAAAAAAAACTAAGGATGCAAACTAAAAGCAATTCACGAGCCGCGCCCGTAACAAACCATATCCAGTCAAAATTGGATAATCACAATTTCACGAGCAAAAATCATACAACAGTGAACAAGCTGAGGAAACAATCCAACTAGTTTACAGATTACTGTATTCATTCAACTTCAACTCTCCAAACCATTCTTCAACCTATCATGTACTTCTGAATGAACAATATTTTGTTTTTCGTTCCAT